ATCGCTGCGTATATGATGGGCAGGAGATCCCGTATCCACTGGCCATTCGAGCCATCATGCGTCGTTAAGACTCGGTGAATTAGGTAGGGGATATCCTTTGACGTTCATGAAGAAATTGTCCATTGCAGTAGTGAGTAGATACATAGACTTCTCTCTAGACAGGTGTATTCAAACTGCTAATATAGACCCCTTTCCTTGAGTCGATGGGACACGAACCTCTCGACTGCCCCTTTGGTAAGATCATAACTCCCTAATCTCATAAAAATTAATCAACTTGCAGCCAATTTACAGAGCCTCGCGATCCTGCACTTTAAGGATAGATGGTACTCCCCTCATGTATGCGCCGAGCATACTCGCATAAATTGCCTCAGCAAGGAGCCATACAAGTCGTTCTTCTGACATTGCCGCCTCCTGTCTCTTATAATGGGCAGGAATCCATTGAAGTAGAAGCTCTCATAGCTTCAGGTGTCTCCACACCGTTCCCTTGATGATTTGATCAAAGGCAGCATCAGGATGGCCCAGTGGTCACGTTGCCCTTCCGTAAGACATGTATGGGAACAGGCACCGCGCCAATTAAAGACAGAGGTTGGGAATCCAAATGGGCAGGCATCCCGGAGTCCATAGGAGACTTTGACAGATATCCACCGAGTAAGCTGCAGTATATTGCTTCAGCCAGGATACATACTCTCCGGGTATGGTTGACATCTTCACTGCTTTAAGCCTTGGGGGATTTTGAGAAGGGTACTAAACTTCACAATCGGCTTGGGTTCCCTAAGTAGCTATCTTCGGTGGTATGATTTCTCCCTATGAGTAATTAGCACATGATATGATGAATGGATGGGTGTTGTCATACTCACGACAGATAGGCTTCTCGTGTGTCTCACGACGCGAAGTCAAGCCCCCGAATTGAGGGGTTGCTGACCCCATGTAACCATATCGGTCGGTGTCAGTCTTACTATAAATGAGCTTGATGTAAACGCTCATATGGAGCGTGTCAACCCACTCAAGAACTAAGAGGCTGTCATAGCTGGGGGCTACTTTGACCGTTTCTTCTCTCTCCCCAAGCAGAGACATGTGAGCATTGTCGACCACCATATATCTCACCACACTCAACACCGGGGACTTGTCCTCCATTTGAGGATAAGTCCCGGTGTCGAGACTGCGATGCCATAGTCCCGCAGAGACACAAAATTGGGGTCGTCCATGTCGGTGTTTGCTTTTGTCAGGCGACAAACAGCGAGGTTGGTATCTTTCGCTAAGATACTGATGATTTCAAAGGCCTTTGCCGTTTGCTCGTGAGTCGGTGCGATGTAGAGGGCATGAGGCCCCTCAACATATGGGATGTTAACGAGCTGACCCATAACAGCCACGAGACTTAGCAAAACAGCTGTCGTCCGTCCCTGAGCCGCTCCTTCGGACATCTCATTTGCCCGAAGATCACAACAAAACTGATGAACAGTCAGTATCTTGCAGCGGAAAGTGAAGTTCCGGAGACAAACCTTTTCAACGGCGAATCTGCAAATGTAGATCCGAAATACATGTTTGCTTTCGGAATCTCAACTGACCAAAAGACCGACCCAGAGACTGATGAACAGTCAGTATCTTCCGTCTGGATGTGACGCTCCTAAGACATACCTTGAGTTTTGAACCTGGAAAGGGTTCAAGTTTGAGGGTCCAAACAATCTTGGCCACTTTCGAAAATAACAAGATATTGCTTCTGATACAACGGTTGCGTTGAAGCAGCACGCAGCCATAGAGGCAAAGAGGGAGATGCCTGGCGGGTATCAAAGATAACATTAAGATCCAGAAGCCCATGTATAGGCTAATTGGTTCAAGGCTTGTCCTTATTGAAATATGAGACAGTCGATGGAGAGAAAAGAGCTGCAGATTGCTTGGGGGTTAAGGGGGTTTATATAGCTCAAGCATCTCGCTCGCTTCACTAGCCTCACATCTAGCAATCCCTTTTAGCGAAGCCAGATTCACTCATCTCATTGAGTTAAACGCGAATACTACTTGGTAAGTCCAGCAAGCAAGGTGAAAGAACCAGATATTGAACTCATTGTTTCCGGCGAGGTGAATGGCCTGCTGATTGAACAGGTGAATCAACAGCAGGCAATACTTCAATGTAAAGTCAATGAAGAGTACGCTGCAAGAAGATACAGATCATAAAGGATATATACACTTGGTAATTTGACGGCGTCAAGTCTCTAGTACAAAGAATGCAGCAGTTGGACGCATCCTTCCAGCCTTGCTGCACCACCGGTGGCTCGACACTCTTAGTATAAACTGGTCAGCATCAATCTTCGGTAATGGGTTTTTAGATATCTAGCGTCGTCTGTAGTGGAGGCTGTAGAATATTCGGTATGTGAGGAGGGTCTTATTCAGCTCCAACTACTCTAGAATAGACCGGCCAAAGTATATTGCTTTCTAGTGCCACTGGCAACATCTGCATGATCAAAGACATCATATCTAAGACAGGACCTCTGACTATGCAGCTCTTTCATTACGGCCCTCTCAAACTCTAAGMTATTATTATACTGCAGTAAGCCTTGGACTGATCCTGATAGAAGGGGAGGACGAGCGCAGCCTATTTGAAAGCTTGCCGAAGTCGAAAGCGCTTCGAAAGCTTTCTTGGTGTAACGAATTTACCGCTGAAGCATCATGTTTCATATTATGGTGAGAGTTCTTCGGCTGCTCATTTCCAATTTGTCTCGCCGCTCCTCGTCTGTCGACTTATTCAAGGTCCTCCTCCAGTGATACGGCATTTGGCCCTTAGACAACTATGTATCATGGCTACCTGAGCTTTGAAGTCTGCAAAGTTCATTKTTTAGTCCTGGATGAACTGATGTAGGAACATAGTGTAAGAACCTCTCCTTCCGGAGAATGAGTGCCCAGTAATAATAGAAGGCAGTGTGTCATTTCACTGACTCTACAAGATGCGTAGTTATCATAGCAGTAACATAACGAGTCTTAGACAATCAACTTTCGGGCAACGAGAGAAAGATATCAAAGGACATTTGAAAGTTGTCTTCTGCACAAGCTATTCTTCGTTCACTAGAGCCAGTAAATCCTCCAGATCGACAAAGAAAACCCCAAGATATACTTAAGTGCATACAGTAGGCATTGACCAATCTACTAAGAGCCCTAGCMAGCCAGCTTGTGGCCTGCCTTGAGCATCAGATCAGTTCGGCAGAGCAGTGTAGGAATTAGGGCTATTTAGAGCTCAATAGCGTTTCGACAAAGAAGAGTATATTCTGGGCTGGTTGAAAGCAACAAGAAAAGTAAGAATATAAATCAAGCAGTAGCACTCCTATAGTATTTATGAGGGAGTTTCAGCATCTACTGCATTAATTCACCTCTTTCATGAAGTTTAGAGACCTTGTCATCCAAACACACTGTCCCTTTCTTAAAGCTTACATTCACTGCCTGCTTTTATTGTTGGATTACTGGATTCACTGACTATATTCACAGTCAGTACTTCAAGCTTTAGTGAATATAACTTCTCTCTTGTAATTGTCGCGGAGCCAGCAACATCAGAGCTCTACTCCGTCTCCCCTCTCTGCCAATCTTCCCCTCTACCCTACCGATCGCCGACTATTTAAATCTGTCAAAGCTCAACCCTTAAGCCAAACAACCCATACATATGCTTTAATGGATATTCTACTGCAGCTTACTTGGAGTTTATATGAGGATAGTCTCCTTCATTGAGCGCAAAGCTATAACTCGTAAGGAGGCTATGCTAGGCTGCAGTTCCAAGAGGCAGCACAGATAGTTGCTTGGTTGATGCAGAGACATCGCTCTGAAACTTCCGAGGCCGGAGGTGAGTTTCCCTCCTTCATCATCAATTCTTGCCAGATCATCAACTGACATGCGGTGGGATAATAGACGGAAGGCAGCAATGTCAGAAAATGGCTCACTGCTTTCCGGGAGAGAAGCTGTTCTGCTAGAACAAGCCAAGGCAGCGAGGCGAGCTCATAGAAGGGACCAAATGAGAGATTAACCGGCTGAGAAAGCTTTGCTTAACCCCAAGCCAAAGCGCATTGTCCCTGCAATGAACCAGAAATGGACGTAAGCCGCTTTATCTTTATGGCTGCATGCTGCTGCTTGTCGTTCTCTCATATCTCTAGGCGCTGAGAGAGTTCGAAGGTTATCGATGCTCTGAACAGTGTCCCTTCCTGCACCACATCCCCACCACATGTCCGAGCATTGTCGGTTTGAGAGGATGTCTTGGACTGTTCATATCCTCTCGGTCATGACATATCGTCAAGAACGGTGGATAAGGTATAGGACTGGTCACGATCACTGAGTGCCGTTGATTCAGGAACTATCGTTTCCTATTCTTTGGATACGGCATTCCAGAACAAGACTATGGGATTGTCCGTAAAGAGGTATGTGTTGGCAATATATGTGGCTCTCCAGAGGGATCAGAACCACTGCATACAACGAAGCCCGGGGTTCCTGTAAAAACACTCATATCCATCTGTACTCTCTACGTTCCCGCTAAGGAGTCGTCCAGCAGGTTCATGTCAGGTACATAGTCTCAGGAGCTTAGGTCTCGATTGCATCCTTGCCTCATTGGAACAATACAAACTGCCAGGGCCTCTCCTTCCTTTTTCAATCATGGCAGGTGGTCAACTAAGTTCCCCTCCACCACCCATGTCTCCCCGTTCCCCGTCTCCCCGTCCTCCTCTGTCTTATTTTCGACTCTCTCGTCCTGTCGTTGTCTCTCGTACTGTCGTTCGTTTTCACGACCCCGTTTTCCGTTGCCTAAATGGAGCATCCCAACTTCACAACTCGGGTTCGACTCACTCCTACAGCTATTAAGGGTTTTATTATGTCGAAGGCCTGGAAGCAATGGCTCGACAATGAATGGTCTGATGATGATATTCTGAAGACTATCTATCAGTACACTCTCCCGTCAGTCTGAGACTTACTGAATGATGAACCACCCCCCAAGCTATGACAGCCTCTTGGCTCTTGAGTGGGTTGATACACTCCATATGGGCGTCTACATCAAGCTCATTTATAGTAAGATTGACACCGACATCGGGTCAGCAACATCTCAATTCAGGGGCTTGACCCGCGTTGTGAGACACACAAGAAGCCTCTTCGTCGAGAGTATGTCAACACCCATCCATTCATCACATCATGTGCTAATCATTCATAGGGAGAAATCATACCACCGAAGAGGAACTTAGCAAGATTGGAGCGAAGCTGGATCAGTATGGGCTGATAATTCCGAACGATGAAGGTGATGAAATTCCATTACTTCAACACCCAACGGGACTCGCGGCACTCGGGTGGTTTGATGATCCATTGCTTCCTGTTGTCGAACAACCTCAGGTTTTGAATGATGAAGAAATGGAGGAGGTTCTCAATGAACCGGCGGTAAAGAATATAACCAGGTCCGGGAAATCTTATGGGAGGCCTGTGTCCAGCAAGGACACCATATCCTCTGCTCGGAAGGTATTGTCTCAGCTTTGGCAGAGGCGAAAGACCGGGTTGCGGGGAAGAGTCGCCAGCTGCCCGAAGATTGTTCCTATCGGGAGAAACTGGATAGCCTCGCAATGCGGATCTTGAAACGCCCGGCTACAGAACTCAATCAGATCCTAGTTGTTACCTTTTGACAAAAGCCAAGGAAGTGGAAGGCCTCGTACTTGATGAAACCCAGCATTCTGCTCCGACATTGACTTCAGAAACCTCTATGGAGCAGCACCCAAACATTCAAGAATTCAACGACGCCGGCTACGGGTCCTGGTCACGTTTAAGTCGAAAGCCGCTATGAGCCTCTTTTAGAAATTCGCTCCCTGCCGTCTTAATGTCATGTCATATGTCATCAGTGTAGATTAGCTTCACCATACTTCAGCTCTATCTCTCCCAGTGCTTTATGGCGTAGACATAGTTTTATCGGCTTTGATTGGGTAATTATTGTAGAGCGAATAATCTGTCTGTGTCGAACCCGGGTTCAATAAATAGGGTACGCCAGCAAAACTTTCCGAACTTTGTCATTTATTGCTCTAGCTAGCCTGGCATCAGTCATCTACGCGACGGTCCAGGATTTCACAGATAAAGGACTACTGGCCTGATGGGCGGCTGTGCGCAATCTATACGCTGGCGACAATGCAAGGTGACATAGACAAGTAGAAATAGATTGTTGTTTACATTGTGTCATAGCATGACAGGAAGCGTCCGCCGTAGTTTCTTTGGAGAGTCGTAGCTCGCTGGTTAAGATCAAGTTTGAAACACTCGAGCCAACAATCAAGGACTGGGCAAGGACAATATGGAACAAATCAAGTATGCTATAGGCATTGGTCATTGTTGGATTGCATAGTTGGTGTAGTTACATCAACAGAACTTAGAATGAGATAAAAGGTTGTCCACGACAACCTTAAGACAGCATCTGGTGTGTTGAGTTGAAAGAACCCGCACTAATGGGTCTTCCCCGTACTGGGCAGCATTGGATGCCTGAGGAAGGTAATTTACAGAGTTCAGGGTAAATTACAGAGGGTGACAGGGCTTGTACCCCTCCACATACTTGATGGACATGTCAGAATAGCTACGGCTTCAAAAAAATTTTGAGACATGAAAATGAATTCACTCTAATTCCATTTTAATCGTAAAAAAGGTCATTTCATGACATCTCATAGAAGAATGTTCAAGCAAAGTTTTCACTCTCCAGTCCTCTATTTCTTGGTGGCCTTCTGGGCGGCCTTGGTGACCTTACCGGCACCACCGGCGGACTTCTCGACGCTCTTACTATAATTTGGTCAGCTTCAAATCTTCAGAATCATTTTCTTTTTAGGGTGCACTTACACAACGCCGACGGCGACGGTCTGGCGCATATCACGGACGGCGAAACGACCAAGAGGGGGGTAGTCGGTGAAGGACTCGACACACATGGGCTTGGAAGGAATCATCTTGACGATAGCGGCATCACCGGACTTGATGAACTTGGGGTTGTTCTCAACAGACTTTCCGGTACGGCGGTCAATCTTCTCAAGGAGCTCAGAGAACTTGCAAGCAATGTGGGCAGTGTGGCAGTCAAGGACGGGGGCGTAACCAGCGCCAACCTGACCGGGGTGGTTGAGGACGATGACCTGGGCGTTGAAGGAGGCAGCACCCAGAGGGGGATCGTTCTTGGAGTCACCGCAGACGTTACCACGGCGAACTTCCTTGACGGAAACGTTCTTGACGTTGAAACCGACGTTGTCACCGGGGACACCCTCCTGGAGCTGCTGGTGGTGCATCTCGACGGACTTGACTTCAGTGGTGACGTTGGCGGGGGCGAAGGTGACGACCATGCCGGGCTTGATGACACCAGTCTCGACACGGCCGACGGGGACCGTTCCGATACCAGAGATCTTGTAGACATCCTGGAGGGGAAGACGGAGGGGCTTGTTGGAGGGACGGACGGGAGGCTCAATGGCGTCGATGGCCTCAATGAGGGTCTTACCAGTGGTCTTGCCGGCCTTGGTCTCCTTCTCCCATCCCTTGTACCAGGGGCAGTTGGTGGAGGGCTCAAGCATGTTGTCACCGTTGAAACCGGAGATGGGGACGAAGGGAACGGACTTGGGGTTGTAGCCGACCTTCTTGATGAAGTTGGAGGTTTCCTTGACAATTTCGTTGTAACGATCCTCGGACCACTTGCAGGTGTCCATCTTGTTGAGGGCAACGATGAGCTGCTTGACACCGAGGGTGAAAGCAAGCAGAGCGTGCTCACGGGTCTGGCCATCCTTGGAGATACCAGCCTCGAACTCACCAGTACCGGAGGCAATGATGAGGATAGCGCAGTCAGCCTGGGAGGTACCAGTGATCATGTTCTTGATGAAATCACGGTGACCGGGGGCATCTTGAGAGAATGTTAGCTAGAGTATCACAACACGTCGGGACGAGTCAAGCTTACCAATGACGGTGACCTCATACTTGGGAGTCTGGAACTTCCAGAGGGCAATGTCGATGGTGATACCACGCTCACGCTCGGACTTGAGCTTGTCAAGAACCCAGGCGTACTTGAAGGAACCCTTGCCGAGTTCGGCAGCTTCCTTCTCGAACTTCTCAATAGTACGAGAATCGATACCACCGCACTTGTAGATCATGTGACCGGTGGTGGTCGACTTGCCGGAATCGACGTGGCCGATAACGACGATGTTGATGTGAGTCTTGTCTTCCTTACTGTAGAGAGAAGATAAGAAGTTAGCCAACTCAGCCTGATGACGGACCGACTTGGATAAGGCCTTTCACTCACCCCATTTTGACGGTTAGGTTTGAACCTTGTAGTTCTTTGTAAGATACTAGAGAAGTTCTGTGGAAATTGCTCAGGTACTACGGCTAGTATGCGTAGAGGTACTGAGCGAAGATGTTAGTTGAAAGATGAAAGAAGGAAGAGGACGTAATAGGAAGAAGGGGAAGATATACGTACTGAAGCGGACGAGGAGGGAAGAGAAGAAAAATTCTGTGGGAGGCKAGGAGGGGAAATCCTTATATGGAGGGGTCAAGCGAGAGAACGACTAAGCGGCGGGCTCAAACCCTTGGCGAGCCGCTGTTATCATTGGGCATGGAGGGGTAGATGCCCCACTCTGATGGTGCGGGACCAGCGCAAAATCTTCACAGGCGGCGGAGTGTCAGTCGGTTGGGCTGTTTCGTTCAGATTTTTCGCGCTGTTGTCTGGTGGAAGATCCTGCATTTCCTTGGTTCATGTCCTTTTGGCGCTCCGAGTTCTGGATCCACTATCTTTTTTTACAAGCAAAGAAAGGAGGGAGCGAGAAAATTTTTTCCCTCCCTCTAGAGTCTTACACTGGATCTACCTATTTTCCCAATGTCTATAGTGGATTTCGGACTGGAAAACTGGGCATCAACGCAGGGGGTGGTCCAGTACAACCTGTCTATCTGCTACTACAACGTACCACACACTACGACGCAGTATATAGTCTACTACGGGCGAGGGGCTTGAATTCCATGTTTGTAACAGAACCCCGCGGCAGCTCATGGTCTCTATTTGCCTGCTAATGGGCAGTACATGGTGGCCCGGCCGAGTGGCGCCCCTCTCTGACCCACAATTAGGATTTTTACTGTAAGGTCAACATGGCAAAAATGGAAGCCTATCTAGTCTACTCTGTACAGACGATACATTAACAAGAAAGGAAAGAATATTTTTACCTCGCCACTATCGATACAGTTGCTAGGGAGACTGGATTAATTGTTGCCGCCAATTTTTTCGAGTCACGGCCTTGCGTAGATGCCCCTCATCAGCTAGTTGGCTGAACTGAATTAGATTTGTCGGACTCCCAAAATGGTCCTCTTTGAGTCACTTGAAAGTTGGTAGATCACACGAAGCTACGTAATTTAGCCAATCCAGATCCAATGATTATGATATGTGGCTGCTAAGAAAAGAAAGGCGGTAAGAATTACAGAACAAGAGCAGAAAGTAAAAAAGGTGCGGCTAATCCGAATAGTCGAGAGCCTAGATAATCAACAGCTACACGTGTAGATAATCGACAATGAGGGGTATCTCTGAAGCTCCAGTCTATGAACAAAATCATCCAACTGCTGCAAGCACAATAAACAAACAGAAAAAAAAATTTAGCGCCTTTTTCCTTGCTCCATATTCGCCTCGTCATCAGTCTATGAGTCAATCGAGCAGTGCGCTTAGCACAATTATTGCCATCGTCACCGTCACTCGATGGCGATGATCAATTTTCTCTCCACCGCGCACCGCATGTAGTACACTATCATATGCAGTTAGCACTGCGCATGATGCAGCTGGCAGCATGACTGCGGGAACGGAAACGCTCACCTTAAGGAATGTAGTCATAGGTTCATCCGCACTCCGAATCTGCAGCTGGAAGAAGTATGCACGATCGCCATTGCAATCTTCGGCGGGGCACTGGGCTGTAACGCAGAACAGACACCATCCGTGTTAGCCTCCACTGCAGAGCCCAAAAACCTCATATTGCAACCATCCAGTACTTACTGGCCATGCTGTCGGCGTTCGCAAATTCTTCCTTGCCTCCAAGGACGTCTTCCACCTCCTTCTGTTTCATGGTGGTCTTCTCCTGTCTACCGTGCTTCAGCAGATGCTGATAGGGACATGTCCGGCATTCGAACCGGTTGACGCCGAGGGGATACTCTCGAGTTGGCTCGCCGCGTGAAATGGTGAGAGAATTGCCGCAATTGGGGCAAACTGGCAAGGTGAACAGCTTAAGTCAGTCTCATATCTTTCTACCGAGCTGCCTTCAAGCTGGCGGGGTATTTAACTMACATGTCAACATCTTGGAGCCTTTCGCTAGGAATCTAACAATAGGTTGGTATACTAAGTTTCAGACGAGTAATGTACTCTGCAGACTGTTCTGCTCGTCTGCGACAATTTCACGGCAAGAAACTCAGATCTCAACAATAATCGAGCAGCTGCTTCTGGCGTACGCCTTTTAAGCAACGACGTCGTTGGCGGAGAGAAATTTAGTCTTTGCCGCGCGCCTGTATGCAAAATAACAATGACAGCCGCCGATTGGACGCGGGGCACATGCAGCAGAACGGACAATAGATCACCCGAGCGGTTATCAGGCAGCACCTTGTAGATAGGCATTCCCAGGATAAGGTACCTGAGATGATGTACCTGTCTAACAGAATATCACTAAACAGATAAGGAACAGCAGAACTGGAAACATTAAGATACTTCAATCTTCCATATCTAGATAGTCTCCTTACACTAGATTCCATCAGACCTCTAGGGATCCCAAAGGCGAGCTTGTAGACCAAAATTCCTTATTCCCCTTTCGTCTTCTGATTTGTGGTTGTGGCTCCGATCTGCCGTAACAGCCTCCTATACAGTCCTATTTTGTACAGCTTCCGGTTCTACCCCGCATAACACCACCAGACCACACCGCAACATTTTTGTGAGAAGGACATCAAAAATCTGAAATCGTGTTCACTGGTACGGGACATTTTTACAGCCCAATTTTTGTTTCGTACTCAGCAAAATGTCGGACGAAGTGAGTGATGTTTCCAGCTATCGGAGTTAAGGAACTGACCAGATAGGGCGCGTCACCCCGCGAACTTGTCGTTGAGGCATGCCGCCGAGACCAGCCTCACCTGATCGAGCAGGTCATGGAGACAATGGACGGTAAATCGAACGAAGAGGTCGCGGAGTTTTTCAACAGCGTGACAGATGCATTGGGGAACCATGCCCTGCACATCTGTGCGATGTACGGAAGCTGTAGGTCCAGACGATCCCCATCAATGCGCTATCCAATATATATAAATACAGACTAATAACGATATTCTTTGGCAGATGATACAATGGACTTCCTCTTCGACATCCAATACTTCGAATGTGACCCCCTCACCCGCCTCGACAAAGACACCCCCCTTCATCTCGCCGTGCGCTACGCCAACGAAAAGGACCCCGAGGTTGGTCTCGAAATGATCAAAATGATGTGCGAAGCTGGCTGCGATCCGCGCGTACGGAACAAGCACGGCCAGAAGCCCGCTGAGCTGGTCTACAACAACCAAAATATCAAATCCACCCTACAGCAGGCTGAATATATTCTGGCCGAGGGTCTCCGGGATACTGGGGATAATGGCTCGGTACATGATAGTGCCAGTGACAGCGAGTAGGGCAGATAGATCATTGACGGCGATGCTGACTCTTTCCGGGTATACGACCTTATGACTATATCTCTCTATACATTTTTGGGTCAATAGATTATTCGAATTGTATACTGTTGAGCGTTCTCTTTCATATTGTTACTAGATGCAGCTGCTTTGATGTACTGTAGATCACAAATCACAGCCCATGCGATTGCATTCCAAGGTATTCTTCCTCTGACAATATCGGATGGGAATGTGGTAGCCGCTGAGTATGATGAAAATTACGAAGGCAAGTGATAACACCTGTATTAGAAGACATCGGTGCAGGTCATTTAAGGTAGCTAGCAAGGTGGATGCGCAATGAGCATTGTGCTGAATAGGGTCAACCCGTCCAACATATATCTGTCCGTTCATATGCTCCCACATACTGTGAAGACTAGTAGACTATACAGACACTACAATTTCCTATCTCGTATACTTAACAGTCAATTGAGGGTATCATATTTATCATAGATAATAACGAAACACATAAATAGCAAGCCAAACTCGGAGCCACAACTTAACCATCACTGTCGTCGTCTGCCTCGTCATCGGAACCAGCACCGCGACGTCTTCGACTTCGCCCTGGTGCCTCACCACCTTCGTCATCTCCGCTTTCGTCTTGATTATCAGCCACCCCAGCCCCAGGTCGCCTGATACCTAGACTCCGAGCCAGCCGCGACTCGAATTCCTCCATCTGCGCTCGCTCCGCAGGCGTGGAATCGTCCCCTTCAACAGCGCCCTGACGACCGTAAACTTCCCGCACCAACCCGGCCACTCCCTGAACGCCCACCTCAACCTTACCGCGCGGCCCTACCATGTACTCGATGATTTCTTCTCCGCCGTCCATCTCCCGATTACGGATGAGATATCCATCCTTACATAGACGCTGGAGAAACCGGTCCGTACGATCGATGGGCGTGTACGTATCAGCATTGGTACGCTTGAGGTAGCGCTCGAGTTTCTGCTCCGGCAAAGAACCGCCATTGAGCAGAATCACGGCAATGATGAAGGAATACAGCCCGATATAGATGCCTTCAAGAGGCGCTCTTGTCGGTGGAAGGATCTCCGGCTTTCTATACGCAAGGGGAAGGGTACTCGTAAGAATCCAGGATTTGTTTGTGGACGAGGGTCTGTCGACTTTTTGGGCGGCTAGTTCGGGGTCAGAACATCCTCGTCTTCTGTTGTCCTTGTAATCAATGCCACGTACCTCTTCGTTGTTGAATAGTCACCTTCTCCTTCCCCGGCAACTCGGCCAATTGCATCCCGAACGTCTCTCGTAATGTCTTCTGCGCCATCTCGAAGACCATTTTGAACTGGCGTGACCCCTGTTCCCCCAGGACCTTTGTGCTTATATCTGTGCGGCGGATCGGTTGCCGCGATAGCTCGCTCGCCAGCGCAAGCCGGACCAGCTTCTTAACCATAACATCCATAGAACTCGGGGCGCGAGCGTCGTCCAGGTCGGCGTCGTCGTCGCTTTCCGAGTCTGACGTGCGTCTGAGACGGCGACGAGCATTCTCTGTAGAGACCGGGCCTGCGACCGGAGTTGAAACTTCATCGTCATTGTCAGATTCGAGCTGTTGTTCCTACGTTTGGGCTTTGGTTTAGTCTAGCAACGGATTGGTCACGAAGTGACAAGAGACTCACAGCTCGGCGTTTGCGAACTAGAGGCATTGCGAGAGTGCGGATGTGAAATATTGATGAACAGCGATGAAGATGCAGATAATTCTAGGCGGACTACTCCGTAGCCAGTAAGTCATATCGCACCGCTATGCGTAATTAGGCAGTTTCCTGACACTGTGAAGATTGGCCAGACGCGTTTGACGCGATGTCACTTTGATAGTGGGACCAGGCGTGATTTGTCCGCTTCGGGTAACAATAACCTTCCGTTTTCTTGGCCTCCACTATCTATACATTGAAATCACATGCAAGCGCCCACAACTTGTATAAAAAAAAAAAAAAAAGGAAAAAAAAAAAAAAAAAAAAAAAAATAAAAAAAAAAAAAAAAAAAAAAAAAAAAAAAAAAAAAAGAAAGTTAAATAACAACGAAAGATAAAATGAGGAGGGAGAAGAGGTAGATGACGAAGACTGAATTCTCACTCTAATCAATTGGTATGCTGCCTTTATTTCTAATGCAGCTGTGCTGGCTACATGTGGCCATCCTCAGTGTAGATAAATCCCACAATGACGTATGTATCCTCTGCCCTTCGTCTGTGGGAATTGACGATGAAACTGTAATGCCTTGACAATGAGCACTGCAATACGAGAGCAGGCGCTTACGCTTTGGATTAGCCTCGGAGTTTTGATGGTGTTCATCAGAATATATGAATATCTAATTGTAACTGATACAAACAATCCCACCAGGTGTATCCAAATGCGAACCAGAGTAACATACGAACAATGAATTAAAGAAAAGCATTTTGTCTCTCGCCAGAAAAGGAAACAAACGTTGACGAAAAGAGACCACAGTCCAGGAAGAAGAAAGGAAGCAGAAGAGTGAGTGACCCTGTATCATCACGATATGTCGCTTAATTGGTTTTGTCATTGACGGCCTCCTTGGCCTGAGCTTTCTTCGTTTGAAGGAACGAGCTGATATAGGTCAACGATTCTTGAGATAGGATCAGGCTGGTGCTGATGGCAGCCTTGCCGCCTGCAACCACTCCGTCACCGCCGCACTTCTTGTATTCCGATCCAAAAGTCTCGAAGACATGGCTTTTGACGTCACCAGCCAGACGCACGGGGAAGAAGGCTGTATCATAAATTGTTCCTTTTATCTTATCTGTGTCCTCCTTGATGATGGGGAACGATGTGTCAAGCTTGGTCAATCCTTGATCTCCGAGGCTATCTACCTGAGCAACATACGGCGCGACGTAACCGTAGGGCTTCGACAGGTAGGGAAGTAACGGTTTGGCGATGCGGACGTAGCCTTGGTCAGCATACTCCAAGGACTTGGCACCATATTTGTTGCTTTTGAAGACAGTGATCGAATCAGAAACGACAGGGTACGAGGTAAGGTGCTACGGCGCATTGTGATCAGTAACATGTTACACGGACAACTGTCACGCAATCAAGCAGGCATCTCGAGGGAACTTACTTCGAGGAAGTGAGAATGGACCTTCTCGCCGTTGATAGAAGGCTCACCCATTGTTCCGTTCTCTGCGTGAGGCATAGAGTCTATGATACAAGAAATGTAAATTAGCAAGAAGAGGATGGTAGATGTGATGGGATACAACATACCTTTAGGAGGTGAGATGTGGAGTCCTTAGTGTGAGAATGTATCCACCGAGGGAGGTCAGGAAGTAAGAAGCTACTTAGGACGAGGGGGAGATAAAGGTAGGTGCTTGAGAGTGGTCGGAAAGTTTGAGGGAGATAAGCGTCTAGGAGGATCCGGATGGCTATATAGATTACAAGAGCAGATTTGGAAATGGGAGGAACTTCAGCACATGTCAGTCCAAGCAGTCTAAATTACCTCTCCTGTATTTATAGAGTTAGTATTTGCCATCGCTCGATCCTAAAATCAGTCATGGTATGGTACATCGATGTTGTACGGAGTAGTAGCTTCCTTGATTCTATAGTAGGTACCTATTTTATCCTATTTTCCTCATGCAGCAGTTGGAGCTTGACTTTGCATGTGATAGCGGGCCCATGGTTGCTGAAAGCAGGCGCCAAGGAGGGGCTCCCGTTGGTCAAAGTGTACCTTATAACCTCATTATCAACGCTCCTACCGTCATCGTCGTATCATCGGAAGAGGGCCTGGAACCCCCGGTAGGTAGCTTTCCGTCGAATAGTCCGAACCCGAGAATTTCAGCTTAAATCATTCGTGTCTCTGTGCCCGATAATCTGCATCTAATTTGACAGGGGAGGGCAAACACTGCTAGAAACGTTCCGGCCAGGGGGGTCCTCGACGTTCAGTCCTCTCTGCCACCCGCTTTTGCTTTCCCACGGGTCAAATCATTGGCCGAAGCGTTAAGCATGTCGTTCGATCCATTTTGAGCACTGAAACATAATAAAAAGTCTCGGATTACCAGTTCCTGTGCCTTGGCCTTGTACGGTGAATCGGATTTGCGTTATCAGTACTCAGTACTCCGTAGTGGCGAAGGCGCTTGGAACTCTATGACACTTGAAAAAAGTTCAAAGATGAGAATTGGGTACCTTCCAATCCGTATGTTGCATATCAATAGACAATAGGTACCTTAGCATTTGCCAAAGAATTCATATCGCAACTGTCTTATTTAGTTACGTGTAATGACTCCATTGAAGGACACTACCTAAGGTTTGATGATTTGCAGCATGTGATAGTGGGTCAATCGCTAAAAGGCTGGGAGATGAGGCCCAGTAGGCCTAGTAGTGCTATCAAGTTTCCCAATAAAGCTATCAAATGTACTCCGTAATAGAGCATGGATACTTAGTCGAAAGATTAAGACAGCATCATATAACTATTCATATCCCTTCTGCATAATCATGGTTATGCATCATTCACTATTGTTCTTCATTGAACTAGGGTATACGAGGAGCTTATCAGTAACTAACAGAAGGCACCAGATTTATTTGCGTCTCATTAGGTTCTCGTCCAGGAAACAGGTAGCGTCCTCTTCTTCGAAAGGATTCTCTGCAAAGAGAAGAACGGTGATTCGTTTACGCCTGATCCGTTAGCCTGCCAGCGATTTGATTCATCCTTCCCGTCTGCAAAGTTCTTTTAGCTCGATTCATCAGTCGGCCTGAGCGTCAATCAGCATATCCATTCTGTTGACGCAACCCAGTCCATCGAAATGCTTGAGAAGAGAAAATACTGTCGTCGACTGTCGTCGTGCTTCGTACTTTTGTTGCGCCTCTTCGGTCATAACAATTGTATAGAAATATGTCCTAGCGCTATTCCAAAACCTTTTAGTCCCCACTCCGTTAACAGTCCAGTAGCCGCAAATGATTGCGCTGCGACGTTCAGAAAACTATTGCATAGCCTATATAAACTGTGGAGTAGTATTCGCGACCAAAGCCAATGTTCCAATTGGATTAATTCGTGGTACTTGAGGTCAAAGGCAGACTTCACGAGCCTTGCTGAGCCGTGGTGTGTTTTCCTGACCAATCGATATATATACTCAACCCTCCATATGCAAGCGATGCAAATCGACAAGGGGTCGAGTGGCGAGCCTAAAATGATTTCATCTACCATGTAAATAGAATCTACCGAACAAGTTCTTGCGTTACAGGTATGCTGTTCCATTGAGTATTGCCTCAAACATGCTTGGCATGGCATGTGTGTAGGTGAAGCCGTAATCTCGAAGATCACCCAACCGACATGCGTGTGTGGGATGAAAATCGCCTCAGGTGGACCCCGTTCGCAACACTAGACGACCTTGGACAATCGTCGCAAAAAGAGAAAATGTACCCGACATGGGCTATAACATACCATCGCAGCTAGCTTACATGGACGCGGAAAGACTTCGACATGGGTTAGAAACCGCGAACTACAGCTGTATGACTGGGCCCCGGACAAGGCAATGCGAGGATCCTCGCATGCATCGCCGAGTTTGACACAGAAGCTCTGTGCCACGGATTATATCCCTCGAACGGTATGCGCCTATTGTTACTGTGAGGCAAGGGTAGCTGTATCCTCGGATCTTGAGGCTTGTCTCTACTGCGTTTCCGAGGCGTGGCAATTGATACTGAAATTGATTTGATGAACAGTTGGAATCACGAGATTGACCGAGGGCTTGATTGAACTAAGGTTAACGAGGTTTCGATCAATATCTGGGCTGATAGATCGTCAGGGTCTGGCGCGGGAATCCGGAATGTACAAAGTTGGAAGGACCGCTGCTGACACATGAAGCCGAGTCGAGGGGTGGGACAATCTCCATTCGCAGCGGTAAGCAAATTGGATATTTGTTAGTAAGCCTGCTGCAATTAACTGAGAATTGCAATGATTATGCCCAAGAATCGAGACATTGAGACAACAGAAGAGAATTGAATTTGTTCATATTTTCATTTCAGGACGGGCGCCAGTCCTGGATGGCCGCCCTCATAAAAGAAACATGGCCAAGTCTTGGACCTGTGCATCGATACATTCCAAGTTCCGCATCCAGCTATGGTATACTTCTTTCGTTTAATGCCATGCTCATGAACCGAATGTACTCGATGCCCTTTTTTCTTCCCTCCGTTTGCCTCATCTAGAACCTTGCGCGCTCAAACGACAAAACGCCCCAAAACACCCCGTTTAGAAACCTGTGTAGAGACCATAATCAGCACACAACTATCTCACTGCAAGTGACAATAAGCGAAGATTGCACGTACGCAGAGGAGTGAAGAACCATCTGTTCTTGCCGCTGGTGTATCTGTCCTCGAGGGCCTTCTTGACGTTCTTCTTGGCGTCTTCGCGTGTGGAGACTTCCTTGAAGGTCTCCTGGCTGACGGCACCCTTGAGACCCTCAAGCTCAAGAGTGTAACGGGTGGGCATCAAGTGGTTGTAGTTGACGACCTTGATGAAAGGCTTGATGCGGCTGCGCTTCTCGACCATCTTCTTGCCCATGCGGCGGGTGACCTTGAGAGGGTAGCGCTCGATACCGGCGACGATGGCGTAGGGGAAGGGGTGCGCCTTGGAGCCAGTGTCGTTAGGCTGGACAATGACGACCTGTGATTTCGCGAAAAGGTCCCTTGTCAGCACATCCTTCTCAATGTCC